TCTATCTATCTATCTATCTATCTATCTATCTATCTATCTATCTATCTATCTATCTATCTATCTATCTATCTATCTCTATCATCTATTTTATTTGATTAACGAGGCTGCCAGTTTGTAATTACATCATTGATCAAGAGCTGGCTGGGGGATTCTGGGAGTTGAAGTCCACAGCTCTTAAAGAGGCCAAGTTTGAGCATCTCTGGCCTGGCTCTTTGCCGCCACCTAGTGGCTGACCCAGATGTATATCCCCTGTTTTTCACAGCCACGCCCTCTCTGTCCCATCAGCCCCCCACCTTCAGCCCCCCCCTCCCCCTTCCTGAGCTCCTACTCACTGTTGAAGTGCAGTAAGGCTTTCGGGGTGACCGGAGTGGACGTGAGGACCAGCATCTCCAGGCCTTTCAAGCCTTCGCGACACACCTCGGCCGCCACCTCTTGGTTGACCTCCGCCACATGATCCAGCTCCAGCACTTGAAGGCGCATGCAGTTGCGGGCTGATAGGGGGAAAAACAGAAGAGAACGGAGTGACGGAGTTGGAAGGGACCTTGGAGGTCTTCTAGTCCAACCCCCTGTTTACAGCCTCCACGCTTTAAGAGGGATGGACTTCAACTCCCAGAATCCCACAGCCTCCATGCTTTAAGGTAGGTGGACTTCAACTCCCAGAATCCCCCAGCCTCCATGCTTTAAGGTAGGTGGACTTCAATTCCCAGAATCCCCCAGCCAGCATGTTTTAAAGATAGTGGACTTCAACTCCCAGAATCCCCTAGCCTCCATGCTTTAAGAGGGATGGACTTCAACTCCCAGAATCCCCCAGGCTCCATGCTTTAAGAGGGATGGACTTCAACTCCCAGAATCCCCCAGCCAGCATGTTTTAAGAGGGATGGACTTCAATTCCCAGAATCCCCCAGCCAGCATGTTTTAAAGGTAGTGGACTTCAACTCCCAGAATCCCCCAGCCTGCATGCTTTAAGAGGGATGGACTTCAACTCCCAGAATCCCTCAACCAGCATGCTTTAAGGTAGGTGGACTTCAACTCCCAGAATCCCCCAGCCATGAATGCTTTAAGAAGGGTGGACTTCAACTCCCAGAATCCCTCAACCAGCAGGCTTTAAGGTAGGTGGACTTCAACTCCCAGAATCCCCCGGCCATGAATGCTTTAAGAAGGGTGGACTTCAACTCCCAGAATGGCTGGCTGGGGAATTACTGGGAATTGAAGTCCATCCCTCTTAAAGCAACGGGCATGTTCCATGTTTGGCCACCCCTGCCTTAAACCGTGGTCAGCCTGAAGAGATGAGAAAACCACCTTCCGCGTCTCTTTTCCTTCCTCCTTCGTGGCCCAGATAAGGTCCCAAATCTGGACTTACCTAAGGAAGCCAGTCCCTGCAGGCCGCAGCCGGCTCCTCCGACCCCCAGCGCTCTCAAGTGTGGCCAGCAACGCCCAATCATCTGCAGGCAACGGTTGCTAAACCTGGTGGGTTGCTGGCTGGAAAATATTTTTAAAAGAAGAGAGAGAGACAAAGAAAATAACTGGGAAGATCAAATGAGGAAGAGAACCAGTCACCGGAGCTGCTTGGAGCTTCTTCCATAGCTTGGGGGTGTCAAAAAGACAAAAGAGGAGACCTCTGAATCAGGGTTTCACAAAATTTGGCTACTGGTTCGGTGGGCGTGGCTAGATTGGGGTGGGGAGCATGTGACTGAGTGGGCATGGCCAACACTCAGTCACGTGACTCCCCCTCACCAAGCCATGCCCACTGAAACAGTGGTGAAAAGTTTTGATGGGGGTGGCCGTCCAGCCTGGCTGGAGCTAAGGGCGCGCCTGCAAACTCCCCAGTAAGAAAAAAAAACATCTTTTTGTTCTCCCCGGCCCTGAGGAATACTCTGCAGGGTTCAGCAGGGCTGCGGGAAGGCAAAAATGCCCCCGTTTTTGCAAAAAAATGGGCTGAAAACCGGCCGTTTTTCACAAAAACGGGGGCATTTTTTGCCTTCCCGCAGCCCCGCTGAACCCTGCGGAGTGCTTCTGGAGGTTGGGGGAAGGCAAAAACACTTCCGTTTTTGCAAAAAAGGCCCCATCTCTGGGAGCCCTCTGGGACTGGGATGCCCACACCATTAAAAATACATTTTTCCAATGAAGATTGTTCTGCACATTTGCAGAACAGAAAATAAAGATAGCGATAGCAATAGCAGTTAGACTTATATACCGCTTCATAGGGCTTTCAGCCCTCTCTAAGCGGTTTACAGAGTCAGCATATCGCCCCCAACAACA